AGATCCAAGAATCTAAGGCAATTGCGAGGATTCATTGGTTATGTTAATTATATTCGCGAATTTTTACCCCACATTTCAAAAATCGCAAGGCCGCTTTATGCGCTCTTGTCAAAAGGTGTCCGATACACCTGGGGAACGGCACAAGAAGATGCCTTTATAAAAACAAGAATGCTGCTACGAATGCGCAATTTTTACATTATTTTGTCCGGGTGCTAAAACACGCCTCGAGACTGACGCGTCCTACACTATTTTGTTCCGGGTGCTAAAACACGCCTCGAGACTGACGCGTCCAATTGCTTTCTATTCGCATTTACTTAACACAACACAGCAAAATTGGTAAATTAGCGAAAAAGATTATATGCGATTTACGCAGCCTGCAAACATTGAGCATATTACCTTGAAGGAACGCAAGAAGCGTTCGAAGTACTAACAGATCACAAGAATCTAGTATCATTTTTAACTCTCCAAAGCCGTCTGCCCGCAAGAAGATACTGCGGTGGCTCTATGAATTGAGCGAATACAATTTTGAAACTAATACAGACGTGGCGAAGAAATACAATGGCTGATGCCTTGTCAAGAAGACCTGATTATGAAGAAAGCTACGCGACAGATGTAATTTGCAGTCTTACTGTTTCAAAAATTCATTAGTACAGGCGATTCAGGCAGCCTATGAAAAAGCACAGCGTTCAAGCGACTGATACAAAACGCAGAATTAAGAGGAAAAGCCGACGTTGATTTACGTCGAGGTTTATTATATGACGAAAAAGACGCAATTATTGTGCCGACAGAAGTTATTGCGCGTCTTAAGGATTGAATTAAGCTTTACAACAGGTTACAGACCGCAGACGAATGGTCAGACAGAGCGGATGAACCAAACTCTCGAAAATTACTTAAGATGTTATTGCTCGAAGTTCGAAGACACTTGGGCGAATTATTTGAAAAGAGCGGAATTCAATCATAATACAACACCTAACGCAGCAACAGGAAAAACCCCATACTTCATTGAACATGGACGCGAAGCAGTGGTATCTGACATTGATGAATTAAAAGCGGAATATCAAAAGGTTCCGTCAATTACCGAGATCGCAAAAATAAATGGCGAAATTCGGGAATGCCTACGAAAGGCAAACGAAAAATCAAAATTCTATTATGATCAGAAAGCACAAGAAGCGCCTAACTTCAAAATTGGTGACTTAGTTTTACTAAAAGAAAGGATTCAACGCGTATTGGCCAACAACAGGAAAACTAGATATGTGCCATACGCAGGACCATTTAAGATCGTTGGGAAAAGTGGAGATCTATATTACCGTTTGGACTTGAAAGAAATGAACAGACAACACTTCTGGACCAATTCCACGTGTCCCAACTCGAAAAATACAATGCCAGAGAACCACCAATTGTTGCGAAAGACGATTATCAAATTACTAGCATTGCGGCTATCTTAAATCACAGGGTTAACGGAAATGAATTATGGGTATACTGCGTCTACACAAAGCCATACAACGACGAAGTGACAGGTGAGCCCCAATTCGAAACTCGCAAAGATTGGTTACTCGCTCAAAGAGTAAAACACTTGGCAATTGCAGAATTAAGATTTTATTGTCAACGTCATAAGATTTCTAAGGCATCTTACCCGAGATATGAAAACCCAAGAACTGCAAAGCGACGCTCTTCTAAGAAGAATTGAAGCGCGCCGCAAAATCTATTAAGATTGAGTCAATCTTGGAGGAGGAATGTCAGAGACAATACTCCAGATGCCTAATTGATAACTCCGGTCTAGATACCTATTTGCCACTGTCAACAGTATAAAAGGCCCGAAGTAACACTCAGATAGCTGTCAAACAATAAACTGATCAATACTTATTCACCTATATGCGACTGCTAGTTCCGTGACAAGGGAAAAAGGCGAAGGGCGCCGAGCAACCTTTCGACTCCAACCTAAATCGGAGACCTCCGTTGACAGAGCACGGCACAGTCACTATGTCCGAGTGGTTAAGGAGTTAGACTCGAATAGGCAAGTATTCGTGGCATCTAATGGGCTCTGCCCGCGCAGGTTCAAATCCTGCTGGTGACGGGGTGTGCGAGGTAGGAGAGTGGAACTCCGACGGGCTCATACGAACAGAGAAGCGTCGCAACCCGTAGGTCCCAGGATCGAAACCTGGCCTCGCAACTTTTTGCTTCGTCTGAAGCAGCGGCCGCACATCTCGGGGCAGATGCAGCCGGTGCAAGGCAAGGTAGGAGCGCGGACAAAGCAAAAGCAAAAGCAAGCGGAAAGGAGTAAAGCAAACAAAGAAAGAGAAAACAGACGGCACCATAACACGGTACAGGTACAGCGATGCACAGTAAAAACAGAAACGCGCGCTCCGCACACACAAAGGTCGTACTGGGAGTCGAACCCAGGTCTCGAGAATCAGAATCTCGCGTGCTAACCGTTACACCATACAACCCTCTTCGCCCGGTCAACCCGCCCCACCCCATTTCACTTGGTGTCGAAACCTTGCTCACTACTCCAACTCATCCTTCTATAGCTATAGCTACAGCTATAGCTTGAAGAAGCTTTGACTTAGCGAACGCTTAGCGAACGTTATACTTTCTTGAATGTATATTGATCGGTTCACAGCTATCTAAATGTTACGTCGGGTCTTTTGTACTATTGCGATGCCGGCAACACTTCTCTTCTCTTTCTCATCAAATACTATATATTGATGATGCAAGAGAAGAGCAGCAAATGACTGGCTACGCCCTTGAAATTAAACCGAACTACCATCCTTTCCTGGTTTCATTCAAAACAGGCATGGAACCGAGACAACCGGCACCAAAGTGACAATGGACTTCCACGAACGTCACTCCCGCCCCTGGATCATCGCCCACCACCTACGCAGGAACCAACGACGTGATCGAATTGGACAACTGGCTTTCTTAATGGACCAGTACCTCCTTGTTGCTCGCGTCCCAGCCACACCATGTGTTAAATGCGAAATCGAAGGACACCCTTGCCGAGCACTATTGGACACAGGATGCTCGTCGTATATGATCTCCAAAAAGTTGCGCAGCGCTTGCTTCTACCAACCCGATGTCGTGACAATGAGCAAGACACTGATACAATCAACGGACGAGGAGACACACAAGCAACACTTAGAAACGGACGACTCAGACACGGAAGAAAACTCTACGCCAACCGAAGAATGCAGTTTCTCCAAAAGGAATCGACTACCTCGGATACGTTGTGGGCGGCGGAATTATCAAGACAACCCAAAACTCGTGGACACGGTCAAACACTTCCCACCCCCGAAGACCGTTAAAGACCTACAGTCCTTCCTCGGACTGGCTAATTCTACAAGAAAGTTGTCAAGAACTTCTCAGACATTGCAGCCCCGCTATCGGAACACAGGAGATGCAGACCGCCTTTGTAGACTCAAACAGGATCTCTGCTCTGCACCGTGCCTCAAGGTGCCAACCCTCACGGCAACTTCGAAGTCAACACCGACGCCAGCGAGGACGCCAAGGCTGTGGGCGCAGTACTCACACAAGACGGACACCCATGCGCGTTCGAGTCAGCGAAGCTCAACGTGCATGAACTCAACTACCCTGTGCACGACAAGGAACTCCTAGCAATTATCACGCACTTAGAAATGGAGACCATTTCTGCTCGGAAAAAGTTCACGGTCTACACGGACCACCGCTCACTACAACACCTCCACACCCAGAAGAATTTAAACAACCGACAGCGCCGCTGGATTGACTTTCTCGCTGACTTTGACATGGAGATCGTTTACAGGGAAGGAAGAAAAACGTGGTAGCCGACGCTCTCTCTCGCGTACAACTAAACGCAATCTCGCCCATCCAAGACGAGGAGGACCTGGACAACATCCGAGGAGCGTACGACGCCGAAGATACTAAGGACCTCAAAGACATCATTGACAATCTGCGAGCAGGAAACGAAGACCCGCACAACTCACCAATAGTCAAATACAAATGGGAAAACAGACTACTATTCTTCAGGAACAACTCGGAAAGCGACTGGAAACTTTGCGTCGCAGGAAGAAGGAACAAAGACAAATTACTCCACGATCACCACGACTCACCAATCGCGGGACACTCCGGAGCCAATAGGACCTATGCAAAACTAGCGCGCTCCTTCTACCGGCCACGGATGACGAAGGACGTTGAGGACTGGACCAAGAAATGCCCAACGTGCCAGGTTTCCAAGTCCTCAAGCCAAAGGCCTCCTCAAGGACTCCTTCAGCCAATGGAAATCCCATTACTCCCCTGGCAATCCATCGCTATGGACTTTACCGGACCACTGTCGACTTCAAGCAAGAATGGAAACGACTTCCTATTGGTCATAACAGACAGACTGACAAAGATGGTACACCCGATCCCGTGCAAGGAGACCGTGACGGCACAACAGGTCGCCGACTTGTTGTTTGAGAACATCTTCAGACTTCACGGAAGACCACAGTCCATTCTCTCGGACAGAGACCCGCGCTGCTGCTCACGGTTCTGGCAGGCACTTCAACCGTTAGGAACGAAGTTGCTCATGTCCACAACAAACCATCCCAAACGGACGGACAGTCGGAACGCGCCATTCGGACAATCGAGACCATGCTCAGGAACTGTACTCTGGATCACGCGGAACAATGGTAGTCGGCGTTGCCCGCGACAGAATATGCTCACAACGACACACCACACTCGTCCATAGGGGTTTCCCCTTCAAAGCAAACTACGGATTCAGACCAACAGGACTTATACTTACAGTGGCGCACGCAAGAGCACCAAGCCACTGCGATGTAACGAGCCAGGTTCCACTCTCTCTCTTACACTTACTTGCACTTGCACTTGCACTTACAGCAAGACTCCCGCGATCATTGTGTGCTTGCGACCAGATTCAAAGGCCCTGTTCCAACCTCCACCTTAGGGAGGTCAATATAATGGAGCATTACTTTCTCAGAATAAGCAAGTTGCGTTCTCTTACAAAGAAGGCAGAGTAAAAGAGAAGCGGGCCTAACCAGGATTCGAACCAGGGATCACCTCTAATTCCTCGCAAAGGGAAGGGGGACTACCCGAAAGAGGTATGTTAACCACTACACTATTAGGCCGACACCTGTGTGGCAGCGGCTATGGTGCCCTGTGTGTGACCTGTTTACTTTTGCTTCGGCGGCTCATTGCGCATGCATGTATGTCGAGGGCAAGTAGCAGCAAGTGCCAAGTGCTGGTCAGTGAGCAGTGAGCAGTGAGGTGTGGGTGTGAGGCGGTCGGTTGTGCGCCGCGGTGTGATTTCGGCGACCGAGTACGGAATATGGAAGGACGGTGGGATGTACACGAACGGAATATGGAAGGACGGTGGGATGTACACGAGCGGAAATGCCCCTATGGCTTAGTGGTACAGCATCGCACTTGTAATGCGAAGATCCTTGGTTCGATTTTTTTGATGTTTGGTGCTCGTTTCGCACTCGCCGCATCTTAGTCGACGCGTAACATGTTTGGGTGGTTGTCAGCGACTAGCACAAAAAGCAACGGTGCTAACAAAGTAGCACCAAAAGCAACGGTGCTAACAAAGTCCCAGGATCCTTTTCCCAAGCCGCTGTTTTTTCTTTTTCTTTTTATTTATTTTTGGTTTGCTTTGCTTTATTTTATTTTATTTTATTTTATTCTATTCTAATCTAATCTATTCAACTCTATCTTATTTTATTTTACTTTTATTTTACTTTTATTTTATTTTACTTTACTTTACTTTACTTTAATTTTTTTATTTTATTCAATGCTTTATGCTTTATGCTTTATGCTTTATGCTTTATGTTTTATTTTTTATCTTTATTTCTATCAAGAACTGGAACCTTTTAGCCAGTTTACCGGGACTGAACCTAATTAGGCAACTTAGACGACTGAACCAACTACGGAACACTAGGACAGATACCCGACGACGTGATGCTCTCGCCACGACAACACCTGATGCTCACACCACCAATAGTGGCATGTCTCCTCATACCACCACGCCATTACGATCACACCACACGCCACCACTCCATTATCATACGATCACACCACCTCAGCACATTTTCAAACTCCGCTGATATTACTACATGAAGATCTGGACAAAACGGTGATCGACAAGATCTGCAAAAATGATCGACAAATTTGACTACGGATCTACAAAGGACCCTGAAGACATTTTTCGAGCTGCACCGGACCCTTAAAATGCGGGAGAGTGTAAAGTTTGTACGCTCTAGCGGCGCGCATGCGATTAAATACGATCGCCAACTTCAAACAGCGATTCTGATCGCTACAGGCATCGTACGAGGTTCGCGTGACAACAATTGCAGTCGCGTAATTTACCTCTTCGTGACTGTATAATTCACGCCACGCTTGGTCATACCATTATGACTAAGGACCGTTTCTTCAGTATAAATACCTTAGTCTTAGTCTCAAATAAACCATCACTTGTTTTGCTCTGCTCTGGTGCTTCAGGAACAGAAGGTGTCGTCGGTCTTAAAGAAGAGAGCTCTTCTTTCAAGCATCTTGAGACCGTCGATGCGACTAGCGAAATTATGTCTGCCTCAGACAATGTTGAGTCGGGACTTCTTCCCACAGATTGGCTCGGCTTCTCGTGGCTTGCCATAATAGGTTCTTCCCAAGCGTCTCAATTAAAGTGTTCAAGTTGGAGGGTTATCAATATATTGTTAACTACGGAGCAATCTCGGACTGAGGTCGAACAATGTCAACGGAGGTTTCCGCTTTAGGTTGGAGTCGAAAGGTTGCTCGGCAGTTGGACTGATCGTTTATGGTTTTGAAAAGAAGGATTTAAGTTAACAATGTTATAGGTGAATAAGTATTGATCAGTTTATTGTTTGACAGCTATCTGAGTGTTACTTCGGGCCTTTTATACTGTTGACAGTGGCAAATAGATATCTAGACCGGAGTTATCAATTAAACATCTGGAGTATTGTCTCTGACATGCTCTCTCTCTCCCCTATCCTTACATCCCCTTATACTCCTCAATCCATCATCGCCCTTCGCCTTTTCCCTTGTCACGGAACTAGCAGTCGCATACGAGCTGCTTTACGGTTCATTATGCAATGCAATGCGGGCCGTGCTCTGTTTCCTCCCACTTGTGGATTTGCGTTGCCTTACTTGGTTCTTTTTTTCGTCGGCTCCGCTGGTGATCTGTATACTATGGACAGCGCTGTCTGGAGCATAAAAAAAAGGGAAAAAGGAACAGAATCAAGATAGATAGAAATAAAGATAAAGATAAAACATAACATTGAATAAAATAAAATTGAATAAAATAAAAAAATAAATAAAATAAAATAAATAAAAAATTAAAGTAAAAAATTGAATAAAATAAAATAAAATAAGATAGAGTTGAATAGATAGAGTTGTAAGATAGAGTTGAATAGAATAAAATAAAATAAAGCAAACCAAACCAAAAATAAATAAAAAGAAAAAGAAAAAACAGCGGCTTGGGAAAAGGATCCTGGGACTTTGTTAGCACCGTTGCTTTTGTGCTAGTCGCTGACAACCACCCAAACATGTTACGCGTCGACTAAGATGCGGCGAGTGCGAAACGAGCAGCAACATCAAAAACAGCTGCCCCACTCGGAATCGAACCAAGGATCTTCGCATTACAAGTGCGATGCTGTACCACTAAGCCATAGGGGCATTCCGCTCGTGTACATCCCACCATATTCCGTACTCATCACACCGCGGCGCACAACCGACCGCCACAACCGACCGCCTCACACCTCACTCCTCACACCTCACGCTGCACTTGCCCCTGGCACTTGCTGCTACTTGCCCCTCACATACATGCATGCGCAGGTCACACACAGGGCACCATAGCCGCTGCCACACAGGTGTCGGCCTAATAGTGTAGTGGTTAACATACCTCTTTCGGGTAGTCCCCCTCCCTTTGCGAGGAATTAGAGGTGATCCCTGGTTCGAATCCTGGTTAGCCCGCTTCTCTTTACTCTGCCTTCTTTGTAAGAGAACGCAACTTGCTTTTTCGTTCTGCTTTATGCACTACTGAAATGCTGTAATCAGGCTTAGAAATGATGACATCAGGCTTAGAAATGATGACAACTGTCTGGTCGCAAGTGCAAGTGATCGCGGGAGTCTTGCTGTAAGTGCAAGTGCAGTAAGTGTAAGAGAGTGGAACCTTACATCGCAATCGGAACTGGGGTTGGTGCTCTTGCATGCGCCACTGTAAGTATAAGTCCTGTTGGTCTGAATCCGTAGTTTGCTTTGAGGGGGAACCCCTATGGACGAGTGTGGTGTGTCGTTGTGAGCATATTCTGTCGCGGGCAACGCCGACTACCATTGTTCCGCGTGATCCAGAGTACAGTTCCTGAGCATGGTCTCGATTGTCCGAATGGCGCGTTCCGACTGTCCGTCGTTTGGGGATGGTTTGTTGTGGACATGAGCAACTTCGTTCCTAACGGTTGAAGTGCCTGCCAGAACCGTGAGCAGCAGCGCGGGTCTCTGTCCGAGAGAATGGACTGTGGTCTTCCGTGAAGTCTGAAGATGTTCTCAAACAACAAGTCGGCGACCTGTTGTGCCGTCACGGTCTCCTTGCACGGGATCGGGTGTACCATCTTGTCAGTCTGTCTGTTATGACCAATAGGAAGTCGTTTCCATTCTTGCTTGAAGTCGACAGTGTCCGGTAAAGTCCATAGCGATGGATTGCCAGGGAGTAATGGGATTTCCATTGGCTGAAGGAGTCCTTGAGGAGGCCTTTGGCTTGAGGACTTGGAAACCTGGCACGTTGGGCATTTCTGGTCCAGTCCTCAACGTCCTTCGTCATCCGTGGCCGGTAGAAGGAGCGCGCAGTTTTGCATAGGTCCTATTGGCTCCGGAGTGTCCCGCGATTGGTGAGTCGTGGTGATCGTGGAGTAATTTGTCTTTGTCCTTCTTCCTGCGACGCAAAGTTTCCAGTCGCTTTCCGAGTTGTTCCTGAAGAATTGTGACGTCAGCAGCGCTACGACCAATAGCGAGCGACCGGGTCTTCGTTCCTGCTCGCAGATTGTCAATGATGTCTTTGAGGTCCTTAGTATCTTCGGCGTCGTACGCTCCTCGGATGTTGTCCAGGTCCTCCTCGTCTTGGATGGCGAGATTGCGTTTAGTGTACGCGAGAGAGAGCGTCGGCTACCACGTTTTCTTTCCTTCCTTGTAACGATCTCCATGTCAAAGTCAGCGAGAAGTCAATCCAGCGGCGCTGTCGGTTGTTTAAATTCTTCTGGGTGTGGAGGTGTTGTAGTGAGCGGTGGTCCGTGTAGACCGTGAACTTTTTCCGAGCAGAAATGGTCTCCATTTTCTAAGTGCGTGAATAATTGCTAGGAGTTCCTTGTCGTGCACAGGGTATTGAGTTCATGCACGTTGAGCTTCGCTGACTCGAACGCGCATGGGTGTCCGTCTTGTGTGAGTACTGCGCCCACAGCCTTGGCGTCCTCGCTGGCGTCGGTGTTGACTTCGAAGTTGCCGTGAGGGTTGGGCACCTTGAGGCACGGTGCAGAGCAGAGATCCTGTTTGAGTCTAACAAGGCGGTCTGCATCTCCTGTGTTCCGATAGCGGGGCTGCAATGTCTGAGAAGTTCTTGACAACTTTCTTGTAGAATTAGCCAGTCCGAGGAAGGACTGTAGGTCTTTAACGGTCTTCGGGGGTGGGAAGTGTTTGACCGTGTCCACGAGTTTTGGGTTTGTCTTGATAATTCCGCCGCCCACAACGTATCCGAGGTAGTCGATTTCCTTTTGGAAGAAACTGCATTTCTTTCGGTTGGCGTAGAGTTTATTTTTCGAAGTCGGTCAATCACGGTTTCTAAGTGTTGCGCTCAGGATAAGGTCCGTTGATTGTATCAGTGTCTTGCTCATTGTACAACGCGGGGCTTGATTTCCCGGGTTGGTAGAAGCAAGCGCTGCGCAACTTTTTGGAGATCATATACGACGAGCATCCTGTGTCCAATAGTGCTCGGCAAGGGTGTCCTTCGATTTCGCATTTAACACATGGTGTGGCTGGGACGCGAGCAACAAGGAGGTACTGGTCCATTGAGAAGAGCCAGTTGTCCAATTCGATCACGTCGTTGGTCCTGCGTAGGTGGTGGGGCGGATGATCCAGGGGCGGGAGTGACGTTCGTGGAAGTCCATTGTCACTTTGGTGCCGGTTGTCTCGGTTCCATGCCTGTTTTGAAATGAAACCAGGAAAGGATGGTAGTTCGGTTTAATTTCAAGGGCGTAGCCAGTCATTTGCTGCTCTTCTTCTTGCATCATCAATAGAAAGTATTTGATGAGAAAGAGAAGAGAAGTGTTGCCGGCATCGCAATAGTACAAAAGACCCGAGTAAGCTGTCGAAGAATAAACTGAACCGATCAATATACATTCAAGAAAGTATAAAGTATAACGTTCGCTAAGTCAAAGCTTCTTCAAGCTATAGCTGTAGCTATAGCTATAGAAG